CAGTAACTGAAAATTCAGGATTCAAAATGTTAAGGCTGAGGTAATAAAGTACAGGTCTTTCAGTTCAGGTAGAGTGAGTGTACCAGTAGCCTGGGATGCCTTGCTACAATTTGAGCAATCTCCTGTAGCAATTTCTTGGGGTATACAGATCCTGTTGGGTTGGATGGAGAACAAAGAATCAGAAGTCTTGACTTTTCAGTGAGTTTGGATTCCAGGAGTTTTGGATCCAAGAGAAAATTGTCGGAGATGCTCGTGGGAAGAATCACAGGCGTTGCATCGGCTAACCTCGCCATTTCCGGGTAACTCACCCAAAATGGCGCTGGAATTATAACCTGGAGATACAAGGTTTTTGGCAAATGTGAGTCACCTTCACAGGTACTTACTACAATGCATTCATAACCACTAACAATAACACCAAAAAACAACGAAGCAAAAAGGAAAAAAAAAAAAACATTTCTTAATTATTAAGCTGACACTTGGTTTCTTTCCACTCCACTAATACAGTTCGAATCTGAAATGAATGAAAATGATATAAACGAATCCATATAAAAAATATAAGGTCTAAAGTAGATAGTGGGAGTATTGGGTACAGAGCAGTTGACCTCATCTCCTGGGGAACAAACTGCAAGCACTGCTTGAACAATACTCTGCTTGGCTCCATTGCTAACTACGATCTGATCAGGTGTGTAAGAGATCCCATTCTCCTCTACAAAAGCCTAACCGTTACTTACAACTCCAAATGTGAATTCATACACTACATATCATACATGAAAAAACCAGAAAGAAGCAAAAAGGTCCAACCTTTGAGCTTATAACAAATTGCTTCGCGAAGTTCCAAAGTCCCTGCATTTGGCGTGTACCTTGTGTGACCTTCACGAATTGCATTGATCCCAGCCTTTGAAAATGAAAAAAAATTCAAAACAACCCATTATTGGCAATTGGCAATGCAACAAAATTCACAAATAAAGATGTCAATGAAAGAAGCTAAACAAGCAGCTACCTCAGCAATGACAGAAGGGGTATCGAAATCGGGTTCACCAGCCGCTAATCGGATTACGGGTACACCAGCTTGAACGAGAGCCGTGGCCTGGTCAGTAATGGCGACTGTCTTCGAAGGCTTGAGGGAGTTGACTCTTGGGCTCAGAGAGATGTCGACTTCCGTTATTTGGGTTTGGTCATTGCCACTTACTGCAACTGCCATCACCATTGCTCTTGATCTGCTCTTACTGTTGGTGAGCTTGAGAGGAAGCACGAGACTAGAGCGAGGGTGTGAAGGGAAACCTATGGATTTCGGGTCTGGACCCAAATCGGCTCCGGAAAATCGGGTTTGGGAACCGAGACGAGCAATGCTGGAGGAGGAGGAGGAGGTCTGGAGGGAAAAGGCGGCCATGGGGGTTTGGTGAGGAGGAGGTGTTTTTGTTGGAGTTGGATCGTTCCTTTTAGGAATGGGTTAGGTGAATTGGAGGAATCTTGCATTTTAAATTTTTGCATTTTAAAGCAAAGGAAGGAGAGAGTGAGATGGGGTCCTTGGGGTTGGTGGGAAAATGGATGGAATTGGGCATTGACTGAGACTTAAGGTTAGGCTGTGCAAGGTGTTGGTAGATGGTATATATAGGTCATTTAAGTTACAACTTGTCGGAAGGGTTTGGATGGAGCTGAAGTGATTGAGCACCTAGGAGCACAAACTCTATCCCTATCCCTAATATCAATTTCTTATCTTCAATTCCTGATTCTTATCTTCAATTCTTGAGTTTTAGTTAGAGTCATGTGATTAATTTCTATTCCTAATATTCTTTGTATGAAACGATAATCTAAACAACTCTAATCGATAAATACGGGCATTCGAACTTGGATGTAAAGGATCGGCTCACTACTGTGGCCAATTCGCCTAACTCGCGTTTGCACACGAAGAGCTAGTTGGTGTAGAAAACAAAATTAAGTTGAAGTTCAAATAGTAAGTAAATGTTTAATACTGAAATGATAAACTCTCTAGGTCAGGTGATTTAATTTTCATCTTATATTTTGTGAAGTACAAATTTTTTATTAATTAGACTAGACAACCATATAATTATGTAGATCCATCCCGAAGGGTAATTGTCATGCTGATAAACATGACTATAATTCAACAGCACATGCCTACCTAATTTAGGCAGTGGGTGTGCAAGGTGAGTACAAAATTTCAAGCAGGCAAAGGCAAAGCAAGCACTGGTTTAACTTGTGTGACTAGTCAAGATGTTCTTCTCTCTTTTTTTTCTTTTCTTTTTTTCCTTTTTAATTTGGGATGAGTCCAACTAGTCAAGAATCAATATTAAACCTCGACCTTTGTTTTTCAGATTAAAAAAAAAACAAAACAAAACAACGACCTTGGTTATATGTTGTTTTGAGATACCCGAAATGACTTGCACACTTAAGACATGTTTTCAATTTTTATAACAAAATATTTCATCTTGAAAATGTGTTACAACTTGCAAGGTGTGCTTGAAAATGTGTTGCAACTTGCAAGGTGGTGGCACACGTGGGAATTTATTTTTATTTTTTTTAAGTCGAAGAAAATATTAAAAATAATAAAAATAAAATATTTATGGCATGCTTATTAATCCGTAATTGGATTATGAGGAATTGAATTGAGGGGGATTAGATTTCGGATTCCTATTGAAATTGTTTACTAAACCATATGGAATGAGGAGAGTTAGATTCTGGATTCCTATTGAAGTTTTTTACTAAACCATATGAAATTGGTGTAGGAGTAGTACTAATTACTAAAATGTCATCGTTGTTGGGTTAAAGTAGATTTAAAATTTTAAAATTGTGAGAGGATATAATGGGTAAAAAAGATGAATTCCTAATGGATTAGTTCTTCAGGAATTAGAATATCACCTCCCACCTAAGAATTGAATTCCTCCAAAAGTAGGAATTCAATTCCAAATTTTATGTGGGCCCTACTTACTTTTTAATTCTTTGATATAAAGTAAACGCGGGAATCCTCCATAGGTGGAATCCAATTCCTAATTAGTAAACACACCATGAAACTTTCCCCATAAAATCAAGGAGAGAGAGAGAGAGAGAGAGAGAGAGAGAGAGAAATAGGAGGCCTATGTTTGGATCAACACCAGAGCCATTGTCAGTGGCATTCTTGGCTTCTGCGTCATGGACCATGGGGAGAAAAACAGCAAGGAGAAAGTGGAGGAGAGACTGAGAATGTACATAATTGAATTGAAGAAGAAACATAAATTGAATGAGTTTGTATTGAAAAATATGAAGTTATGGAAACTTGACCAAATAAAATATAATATACAATGAATACCTCCACTACTAATAACATCAAGGCCTTTTTTGTAAAAACCTCACACCTGTTAAACAGGTAATTAAGTTAGGGACAATATCGATGTTGCTAATAGTGGGTCAATGGTTTGTCTCTTTGAAATCTTAATAGTTTGAAGAGTCTTTGTAGACTGTATCATTCTTCTTTTTTCTTTTTCTTTTTCATCTGTTGTAGTTGTTGAGAAAATGAATTTTGAGTCTTATCTTTCTTGAATTTTATAATAAACTTTATTTCTTGCATTGATTTTATATATAAACACTAAGACCTATAAATTGAAGAAAAAAACTCAAAAAGGACCAACAATATTATTTTTAAATTTGAATGATGTGTGAAATACCATTATTTTGCCCGCATTATGATTTTTAGAAAAGAACTCTCATGGTAGTGTTGTAATTTTTAAGTAATTCAAGGCTTGTATGGTATATTTGGTCCATATGAAAAGTCAAATTAGTTTTTCTTAGAGTGTGAGTATTGTAGGGTTTTTCTATATTTTGGACCATATTTATGGGCTTAAATGTGAAAAGCCCTTTACTAATTCTAATTCTTGACTTCCCCTCGTTTACTAATAAATACATCATAAATAAATAAATAAATATGTGGGTTTCATGTTAAAATATGTAATTAAATACCCTCAAAATCAAGATGGGATCAACTAGGGGAGCAGCTGATCCAATTTTCATTCCTTGATTCCCAAGTTTTCCAATTCATGACTTCTTGATTCTTGTAAGGCATGTTTACTTATCAATAATGGTTATCATAATCATTCCAATTATGTATTCCCCTTCGTTACTAACACGTGCCCCTACGTTTACTTACGTATACGGAATTTAAAAAAAAAAGGAAGTTCCATGGTAAAATCCGTTATCAAATACCCTCAAATATAGGAATCATATCAACTAGAGGGAGTAGTTGATCCGATTCCAATTCCTTACCCCCAAATTCTCAAGTTCCCCGATTCATGAGTTCCCCCATTCCTTCTAAGTAAGCATGTCATAAAATCCGTAATCAAATACCCTCAAAACTAGGGATTAGATCAACTAGGAGAGTAATTGATCTGATTCATATTCCTTCTTTTCTTATTCTTAAGTTCCCCTATTATTTACAAGTAAACATGCCATAAAGTAACCCAAAAATAAATAAACATAATGAAGCAAAAGATTTGACCACTTCTATGACTAGAACCAAGGAATGGGATTGCCCCCAAAACAAGGTAACACGGTACTAAATTGTTCAAGATGTGGCATTGATTTTTTTATTAGTAAAAGTGATAGTCTAAACTAGAGGGGAGGGGGGTTTCTCTTCTCACAATCACAAATGATGTCATTGGGGTTCGAACTTGAGACATCTGGTTTGCAAGTTAAGACTCTTTTTCATTGGGCTAGACCCATTAGCTTAAATTGTTAAAATTGAAAAAACAATACAAGTATGCCTTAAGGGTGTAAGTACATAATACTAAATTGAAAAAACCCAAAAAAAGGGTATAAGAAAATAAGCATAATGGAGCAAAATCTAGATGACCACTACTGAATGACTAGAACCAAGGAATGGGATAGCCCCAAAGGAAGTTAATAAAGTTGAAATCATAGCACATAAATAATGCATATCTCGTTATACCCCGCACAACCTCATTGACGGAGCTAAGTGAGACTTCAAATGAGTCACCACCAAGAAACTTAAGTAACCAAGGCTCTGGCTTAATAACGTCAGACTGTGATGCAAAAATTCATTCTTCATTGTTGCTACAAAACAGAGTGAAGGTTCTTATTCTATCAAAGAGGGAGAGATTTAGATCAAGATCTCAACCAAGTACAATTCCAAGGTTGCTATAAACTACTAGCATATAAACTTCTCTGAAAATACGTCAAAACACCTACAACAATGGAGAGAAGAAACAACGCAACACCTCGTCTAGAGAACCCGAATTCAGTCCACGTCAAGGGCTTCGTGACGATAACTAAGATACTGCGAAACTGTTCTCTTAAATCCTTTAGGGAACCAGTATTATCAATCACTAGGTCTGCCTTGGTCTTTTTCAAATCAAGTGACATCTGAGCATTTATCTTGTTCTGAGCATCATCCTCACTTGTACCGTCCCTCAACATGAGTCTCTGGAGCTGTGTTTCAGAATCAACCCATACCAAAACAATGGGCTTTGTCCATTTGTCCATCTTGGCCTCGAACAATAGAGGGACATCAACAACAATAATCTTAAACCCCTCCGTCCATAGCTTCAAAACTTCCCAAAAGATTCCAAACCATATGTAAGGAGCCAGCACTCTACAAAAAGATAAAAACTAGACTTTGAAACTGATACGTCATGGAACTTGTATTATAAAGTAATCCAACACAGAATCTCTGATAAGGCATTACCATTACCAGGAATATTATAACAAAATCTAGGCAATTTTGACTAATGGAATTTGCATAATTTCCCTTGTTATTAGGAGATTATACTATGAATTTTAACTTGGACAAGTCAAAACTTGGTGAGTATTACAGGACCTGAATGATATAAATTTAAAACCATAAGTGGGAACCCAGCATTCACAGATTGACACTGAGTGAGTCTTTTTGTATTCAATGGTGACTAGATTTGTAAAAGATTATCTTATTAGGAGATTATACTATGAATTTTAACTTGGACAAGTCAGAACTTGGTGAGTATTACAGGACCTGAATGATATAAATTTAAAACCATAAGTGGGAACCCAGCATTCACAGATTGACACTGATCAGTGAGTCTTTTTGTATTCAATGGTGACTAGATTTGTAAAAGATTATGATTTACTCAACTGCACCAGGGATAATGTTGAAGTAGGAAGTAAAATCATACAGCTAATAGTATTACTAAGTGATACTCTCAATTAGAACACAAAATAAAAATGGAACTATCTGCAAAAGGGTAAGTACCGATTCAGAAGTTTGCGCTTTTCGGGATTAGAGAATATAATTTGGCCTAGTTTAGGCCTATCAACTTCTCCATCAGGTTGTAAAATGTCATCTCCAAATGCTGAAACAACCTTTTTCCACCCAGTTTTGCCCTTCTTTAATACATCCTGAAATATCCTCTGTCAATGAACTAGCTAAAAAGAATATACTGCCATAAATCTTTTATGGTTTCAATATAAGAGTATTAAGGGTTTGATCATTACTTACACGAGCAACAAGATCTGCGTCAACGACGGGAAAGTCATGGGCCTTGAAGAGATTTGAGACGGTGCTCTTCCCGGACGCAATTCCACCTGTCAGTCCTACTATCCTCATTCTTGAATGCAAAATCAAATATAAGAACAAAATTAGCTAAAGGCCTTGGAGCATCTCAAATGAAAATGACTCTAGCTATCTCTTTTCTTTAGCTCTTTTGAGAAGTAAGACAAAGATGGAGCTCCAGTGCACCCTATCAATTTCCCCATTTTAAAGATTTGGAATTTGGCTCCCTAGAAATGAAGAGCCTCTCTGTTGCTGCATATAATAATTTTACCATTTGTTTCTGTCAACACATTCAATTAAGAACATAAAGAATAAATAAAAATTTGCAATTTGACAACAGTTTTGGTTGCATTCTCTTATTAATTTAATTTTGAAAATGTTTCTGCAATCAACTGACCCAAATACAGGAAACCAGAAACAAGAAACTACAGTACATAAAATAACAAGATCCCAATCAGTTTTACATTTCCAGCAAAACAAAATGCCCTTCATGGTAAGAACATGCCTTTTTCTTTCCATGCAAGCTAATAAGCACTCATACAAACAAGATCAAACCAACTGAATCAGAAAGAATGGGAAGACATTTCTTACCTCTGGCGATTTGCCAAGTTATTGGTTGGCGTCCTCCCTGTGGTGGAAATTGGAGTAGAAAGAATCGAGATTGCCCCTCGTTTGAGTTTAATGTAAAAGTATTTCAGAAAAGAAAAAAAAAAAAAAAACGAAACGAGGAATCAGGAAACTGGTGGCATTGCTGATTGGAATTATAAATTTTATTGACTGGTGTTGCATTACTTTCTAATGTCTTGGAGTGTAATTTCCAATTCACAATTTTTTTTTAAAATTCAGTGACTAAATTAAAATAAAATTTGATTAAAAAAATGACTAAATTGAAATTTTTATAAAACTCAATGACAAAAAAAATATTCAATTCTAATTTTATTGAATTGTGTTGCGTTAGTTCTAACGTCTTGGAGCGTAATTTTTGCTCTTTCATAAAAATCAGTTCAACAAAGCAATGGGCTTGTAGCTCAGTCGGTTAAGAACATTTACCCGTGCACCTAGGGTTCTAGGTTCGATTTCCCTTCCCCATTATCACTTGTATTTAAAAAAAAAAGTTATTTTCACAAATAGTTCATGAAGTTCACGAAATTATCACCTTTGACCATTTATATTTTTTCATGACATGATTGGTCCTCAAGATTACTTAGGGTATATTAAATTGGTCCATATCATCAAGTTCCGTCAAAACTTCTGTTATTGTTGATGGGTTATTTAGGTGAAGTCCACATATCCAATAACGCTCATGTGGGATGTAAAACACGATCGACCAACCGAGCTAAGCTCAAACTTAGTAAGGAAATTTACGTTTAACATACTTATTTCATTTATGGATGGGCCAAAAATTTGGGGGCCCTAAGAAATTGGATTTGCAGTGGCTCCGTTTTAACCCCCTCACAACTGCCTCTGGAATGACCCGTCGCTATGTGGGACTTGGGCTCACACCTCGTAGAGACAGGCTGACCCATTTTACATTACACGACCCCTCCAACCCTCCAACCACTCTGTATCTCTTTATTATAGGATAGTGCTCGGAGTAGATTAAATTTTTGGGGTGCACCGGTTGCGGCAACAGAGGTTGTGGTGAGAGATGAATGAGATGATTTTCTATGATTGTGCTTGCAGTGGAGTAATTTTGGGAAAAGGTCAGATTGAGCTGTTACTTATTAATCCTCCTTTCACATTCTTGTTGGAAAAATTAAGAAAAATACTGCTTACTTCAGTGTTTCTAATGTCTTTTGAAATTATATTTTTTTTACTCTCTTTTCTTTTCCAGCGTAAGTCAATGTCTCAGATTGCTTCGCAGCGCGGTATATACCGCCAAGGAAAGCTGAGAGTGAACATGGCTTTTGATGGTGATATGGTGGCAGTTGGAACGATCTGCAAAAGGGTAAGTAACAATTCAGAAGTTTGCGTTGTTCGGGATTAGAGAATATAAGCTGGCCTAGTCTAGGCCTATCAACTTCTGCATCAGGTTTGTAAAACGTCATCTCCAAATGCAGAAACAACCTTTTTGCAGCCAGTATTGCCCATGTTTAATACATTCTGAAATATCCTTTGTCAATGAAATAGCTAAAAATTGGAGCGTTTTTTATTTTTATTTTTATTTTTTCTCTTAGAAAATTCACATGACTTGATGACACGTGGGCTCCACTTAAGTTCCGTATCGGCAATTTAACAGAATTTTTGACAAAATCAGACGATAGAGACCAATTTAACCTTGAGGACCAACAGTGTCACAAAAACTCATAAATAATCAATAGTGATAATTTCTTAAACTTTGGAGACCATTTGTGAACAAAAAACCAATTTAACATACTTCTTAGGCCCATTCAAACACTATATCACAGGGCCCAACAGACACAAACATAAACAAAACTTACAGCCCAACCAAACCAAAAAAAAAAAAAAAACCAACATCCCAATGGGTTTACCTGGATGTTTGGTGGGAGTTTAGGGTTTTAGTTGATGAAGTACGTTGCTATATTGCTTCGTAATCTAAAAAAAAAAAAATCAAAGTAATTGTCAATGTCAACTCAAGGAAATGTTCAATACTATGAATACGCAGTCAACTGACCCTTCTTAACATTTTGCAACGTTTGTCATTCTTATATTTTGCAACCTCATCTTTCTATTCCCATCTCTCTGTGTGATCACTTGAACTAAATTGTATTCTACAACATATTCCCCATGGAAATTTCAGTTGAAGACCTTGACAATTTATGTTCTGAACCTCTGAGTCACCTAGACAATTTCAGTTGTGGCTTCGTATCGTAAATTAATTTATTTATTTATTTATTTTTTGTGTTAAATATTAGGTAATTGACCTTGTTTTAGTCGTGTGGAATGACTCAACTCTAATGTAATTAGTTACTAGCCCCTTAGCACATGCTCGCCAATTGGTTTTATTTTTTATTTTTTATTTTATTTTTAGAATTAAGAAAAAATTAATATGGGTTGTTATGTTCCATAAAAGTAGGACCTATTATCTGATTTTGTTTTTAATTTTAATTTTTTTAATATGAAAAAAATGTGAATTTACCATATTATCCCCATTTAATTTATAATTTTAATTCTTAATGTTTGAATTATCCAAGGACATTTTCTGGTATTTTGAATGTTTATCCATTCTCTGTCATTTGCTTTATATAGATAGATTACAATCATGTGAGGTTTAGACAAACGCACACATGCAAAGCAAACCAGAAATTATTTTAAGATTATGTTATGCTTCTAGACAACGTGAGATTTGCCTACTCTTTTACCTCATCTCTTGGAGATGCTCTTATATAATACTAGCTTCTCGATCTGTGCTCACGCACGTCAAGTGGCTTTATATATATATATATATATTTGTTTTTTTAAGAATGACAAATGTGTTTAGGACTTTAGGATGAGGAGAAATGTGTAATTTATTATAGTATTTAAAAAAAAAATATTTTACACTCATTTTATAATTGTCTTTTCTTTTATTATTTTGGTTCAATAAGGGCATTTGTTGGGTTTTTAAAATTTCAACAATAATGATCTTTTGCATTATATATAGATATAGATATAAATTAGTTACACCGGAGTTGTCATGTCAAAAGTTAGATTCTAACCTTTTTGCATGTGAAAGCGTTGACATACCAAAGCATTGACATATCTTGGGTCGAATAAAGGGTCGAACACATGTATTTACAGAGTTAAATAAAGAGTAAAAGCGTCAAATGGGCCGTGTCGGGCCGGTCTGGCTAGTTTAGAGTTGGTCTATTTAATAAACGGGCCGTGTCAGACCCGTCTATTTAAGAAAATCCTCAAGTCCAGCCCAAGCTCACAACCCTGGTCCATATGGAACTGGGCCGAGCCACTAAACGGATCGATATGAGCCCACGCCAAATTTGACTTATATATTGCATTTTTTTGTAATTTTTTTTATAACTTCATTTCAATCTTTTTTACAATTATGTATACTAACATGTTAAAAAAGTAGAGGAAATTGTAGAGAGAAAAGAAAGGCAATAGAATTTGCTCTACCAACTTATCACATTCATTTTTGATAAACACCTATTTATACGCTTACAACCATATATAGAAAATTAACCCATAATTTGTAGTTAAAGGGTACTAATTACAATAGTAATAACATAGGTTACAACTCATTAAAGTTTGGAGGTAATGGATGATATGGTGGTTATCCACATTCCATATATTTATGACATAACAAGATTTATTTCTTATAGGAAAAGAGGCCAATAACTTTATTTGAAGTACATTTAAATAGAAAGTGGCTAGATTATTGTTTCGGTTTTAAAAATTGAAAATTGAAAAAACAAAATCATTATTTTATAGCTAGTGTGGTTTTGTCCCTTGAACTAAATCATAATTGTCAATTTACCTGTTGTTTTGTTTTGTTTTATTTTTTTATATAAATTAAGGACTCAAACTATATGAAAATGGCCAATTAAGGACTCACCGTCAATTTTTTTAAATGTCTATCCAAATTTCCACCCCTATCAAGGATATATATTAGATCCTATTTATGAACTTATATGTAAAAACCCTTTTTTAGGTACTAATTAGTTCCATACCGGGAATGGTGGGGTAATCATGCATGGATATATTTGGATAGGGCACCATGCTTATTACTATTTTCTGGTAAACGGGTCAATGCAGATCAAACTCTGATGAAGCTCCAGCTAAGGAGAGGGTCCTCCTCAACCTACACCGTAAAGGTCTCACAATGATATTTCTTAAATAATACTTATTGTAGAGGATAATACTTAATAGGGTCACAAAATAGACCACCCGATCGAACTCGTGTGTAGATAGGATAAACTAGAGGGATACGTATGCACTTTTTTCCGCCATATAAAATACGCAAGTGTAATTCAATAGGATAAAGGAGTTTAAAATGTGATCGTGATCATATTTTACTTATATTTAATCAGCTTCAACTGGAAGATTCTTCCATCTTCTCGATCAAATGGATGTCCTTTTAATGTTTTCATAATTAATTAATATGTTTATATCGCTTTTATATTGTCGATTTCTCGTAAAAATGATTTATGAATAAAGACAAAAAAGATATTTAGTTTGAATGTTTGAAATACAAAAATTCATCTCAAATAATCTTATATCCATAGTAGGGGTGGCATTTTAAACCGAAAAACCGAAAAACCGCAAAAACCAACCGATAATTTACCGCAATGAAACCGCAATCGCGGTAAACCGAACCGCATTTGCGGTATTAAGAACCGAACCGCATTTGCGGTTGCGGTTGCGGTATTTGATTTTCAAAACTTGCGGTTACCGCAAACCGCAAAGTATAGCCACACGGATGATGAAGTTGAATTTTACAAGGAAATAGAACATATGACAACTTGTAAGTAATTAGTTTATTTATACTAATGTTATTTATGCTTCTTCTTATAATAAAATGTACTAAACTATGTTGTTTTATTTGTAAATAACATTAGTGCTCAAACAACACAACGGGGTTCTTCAAATCCACTCACCACCAACACTTGAGTTTATAACTTTAGTTTGTAACATTGGTGCATTGCATTTTCCTTTTAGTTTGTAACTTTAATTAACTTTGAATTGAATTTTTCTTTTTTGTTGTAACTTTAATTCA